TATATATATATATATATATATATATATATATATATATATATGTGTGTGTGTGTGTATGTGTGTGTGTGTTTAATCAATTCACGCCAAAAAAGGCGATAATGCCACTAAGACGCAAGGGATTACTGGGAGTGAAAAAAATGAGAAAAATTTTGAAGGAACCAGAAGCCCAATCTTAAACATGAAAGAAGAGATAAACCTTAACTCCTCTTCGAAAGACCAGGAGAAGTGTGAACCGGGCTAATACGTGAACCTATGATGACGAAAAATTTAAAAAAAATGAATATATAATAAATACCATTTCTGAGTTTAGACAGAAACGTTACAATTATAGAGTTGAAATTGATTTTAGATAAAATCGGTAACCCAGTTCTAAAAAGGATACAAGGGATAAACCTTTACTCCTGTTCAAAAGACTCGTGAGATGTGTGAACCGGACGATAGGATAAAAAATTTAAAAAAATAAATATTAAATAACATTTCAGAGTTTCGAGAGACTTTATAAATATACAGTTGAAGTGCACACACACACACACACACACACACACACACACACACACACACACACACACACACACACACATACATACACACATTGTTGTGCATTAAACTCCGAGTCGTTCTATGTTGTGAGGGACAATATGTATATTTATTAATATATATATACTTAATAGTTGTGTTATATTATTATTTTTATACTTATAGTTCTGATATATATTATATATAGCACCGTTTTATTCACACCGTGTGCGATACCATATATATATATATATATATATGTGTGTGTGTGTGTGTGTGTGTGTGTGTATTTACAATGAATAATTACTACAAAAAGTAAACTAGTAAAGTTAATGATATAAAATGGCGAATTCACTTCGCTAACTAAATTTTAAAAATGCATTAACTCACTAACCACTCGATGAATGTACGTCACCACATACACACACACCCACACACATACACATACACATACACATACACACACATATATATATATATATATATATATATATATATATATATATATATATATATTCGATTATATATATAATTATACGAATCTCGGTAGTGGATGCGAACTGCTGATGAGTCCCAAATAGGACGAAATGGCCGCCCAATGCTTTCTGCATTCTGTTGAGGATTCTTGTAGACTAGATGAATTATTATATGTGATTACTCTAAATCTCCCTCAAATTTATTCACTTTTTTACCCACTAGGCCATTTGCTGTAGTAAACTTAGAAACTTAAACCTAACCCTGGCTGCTGATTAGGTTGCAACCACTACTGTTGGCTATCACATTTTGACTTCTGCTGCTACCCATGCTTTGATTGTTACTGGGGTTAAAGTTTTGCTGCCATTTGTATTTTTTCTTTATTAGCGGCTCCAATATTTTATTTATTTTTATGCTAGGCCTACTAAGGGGCCTACTAAGGATGAACTCATAGCCTGCCAAATGCGCTGATTCTTGCAGATCTTTAACTCTGTAGTGTTCATTTTTGTCCAGTATTTTCGCTTCATTCCACAGAGGCTGATGACCACCCCTTTCCCTTCATACATGATCAGCCATGCCCGATTTCATTGTCTCACCTCTCACAAAAAAAGATAAGGACCATAGTGATAATATAATTTGTGAAAATAAATACTCCTTTATACTATTATTATTATTATTATTTATCAAAAGTATCTTCGTTTGTTACAGACCTAAGGTCTATTTATGAATCCACTACATTATTATTATTGATATTAGTACTATGTATCGAAATTATATTCATTTTTTCAGACCTTTACTCTTTAAAGCTTAGTATATGGGCGCATATATAGAGTATTTATTATTATTTTTTAATATTATTGTCAGACGTTGACGTAGTCAATGGAAATTCTACTCTTGAGAAATAGCGTCTACAAGAATCTTTTACAACTCAAGAACATTTCTGGGGGAATTCCCGCAGAGTAAATGATGGCAATTTTTGGATTTCTCCAATTTTGGCTTCCATTCCAACTTTTCTAGATGGTGTTCTAAACGCAGCATTAGTACAGGAATTAGTTTTGCATTTATATTCCATAATTTCTTCAGCTCTTTAGCCAGATCCTGTTATTTTTCTATCTTTTCAGTTTCTTTGGGGCCCACACTTTGGAAATTGCTAATCTCCTTATCTATAACAATAAGGTCGGGTCTTCGCGCTTTAGTGACATGATTTGTCTGATCTGAGAAATCCCATAATACATTGTTACTGTCATTTTATACATCTGCCTCTGGCTGCTGTTCATACTATAGGGATACAGAAGGCATTTATCTCCCTTTGGTCGTGAAAAGTCACGTGGGTCTCGTGACAGCCCCTTAATGACGTCAGTTCATACAGTGATTAAAGCCGTCAAATTCAGTTCGTTTTACAGCAGCCAACGGCTAAATCTGCCTTCCCCAGTAACTTACAAGTGCATAGTTTCCCTGTGGAAATATATCTTTTCCAGATATAAAATGAAACTCATACTCGCAGTCCTCAATTTGGGGAAAACCCAAGACTCGCTGTTTCCCGTTCGTTGAATATGTCATCATAGATGAATCCGGCCCATTTGAATCTGGAGTCCTAAACATGGCTTTTGCAGACACAGGAGTATCTCTATATTATATGTAAGAGCTTTCCGTTTTTTTTTGTTTCTCCTTACACTCTGCTTTGCTGTGTAGATATATGTGATACATTAGTCTTGCCGTTGAACATATATGTATATAGTGTTGTGTATGTCTTAGTGATATAAAAGTATCTCTGAGAACAAAAGCCTGTTTGTCATTCTTTTTCATTTCAACTATACATAACTGTCCGTGAAGAACAGTGTTATTATATCATAGATATAATAATACCCATAATGGGGGAAATAGAATGGGAGAATACATATTTATACAATAGCTCCCGTTACAATATTAAAAGTATATTCATTTTGCTTGTATATAAACCTGCTTTCTGTAATTTTTGTTAAGAAAGAAAGAAAGAAAGAAAATGACAGGGATAGAACATGAACTAATAGGAAAATATGAGACGAAGAAAACTTGCCGTAGACGAAAGAAAATGCAGAGAAAAAGCATGAGTAAAAGAAAAAAATAAGGAAAAAAAAAAGAAAAACGAAACTGGCAATCACCGTTAAAGGAATGAAAAACAAAAAGTCATCCTGCCTTCCTTAGGTGTGTTGTGGCCTTGTTAGGTCCAGAAATAAAGACACAAAGAGAGTAATTGAGTTAAACAAATATATTAACAGAAACAGTAATACAAACATATACAAACGAGCGTGTTACAGCAAGAATATTCGGTCCGACTGTCAGAGCTGACAGCTGGAAACTTCCCTCTCTAAAAGGCAGTATCTGCTCCTATTTATAGCTGGGAGAATCCATGCGTGCGTGGGTAAATTACCATAACAAGGTGTATATCGATCTACAAGGAATTCTGAACTGAACCCTTTATTTAATCTACGGAGATAGACTGTTCTCGTTCCAATTCTTATGTTTAGGGATATCTTGTTTCGTTCTTATTTTTAGGACTGATTAGTAATTGCTCGCCCCGTTTCCACTGAATACAAGTACACAATACCCGCTTCAGGAATTGAACTCATAATTACAAAGAGGAAGGAGTTGTCATTGTTTACACTATTTACATTTCAACTATTGTCTTTATTCGGTCGTTGTATTCTCCGGCCTTTATCAGGTGTATGTCGATCCGGGTAACCATTAGGGAATTCCAAGAACTGCTCAGTTATTACCACTGAATCCAAGTGCCCAGCTGAATGTTATAATAAAAACAACAGAGACGAGGACACTAGTTCGAATATCAATAATGTAAATAATGGTAACTCCTCATTCCAGAATTTGAAAAAAAAGGGCTGTAATTAAAAACAAGTATTATGAAGTTGTAAACAGTGAGCAAACCTTATCACGTATGCTTAAGGATGCCTCACTGCGGATGAAGAAAAGACTTGAAGCTATAGATTTATGGTTTTACCAAGAGATGTTAGGAATACCATGGACAATGCATGTGAACAATGAGGATGTCTTCAGGAAAATACGAACAACAAGGAAACATGCATTTCATTATTTAATTTTATTTTTTACTAATTTTCACCCAATACAAGGCCCAAGAGCCACTCAAGGTAGAGTGCTACTGTGTTTTGCTGTATGAGCGTAAGAAAGGCCAAGTGGTGAAGTTCTTGGGGCTATACGGGAAAGATAAAAGCTAATTCTAGACTTTGAAGAGATCAAGATTTAGCAACTTCCAGCAGAGACGTTAGAAGTTAAGTAGACTTTAGAAGGAACCGGAAACCTAATCCTAAACAGGAAACAACGGATAAACCTCTACTCCTGTTCAAAAGACCGGGAAGAAGTGTGAACCGGATGATAGGTGATTCTGTCTTCTTCTGTTGGTAGAGGAAAAAAAAATAATTACTGAATAAAATTTCGGAAGAGAAATTTATGGGACAAAACAAGGAAAAAAGAGGGTTGGTATATGATCAAAATTTACAAAAGAGAGGACGTTGTGGTGAACCGTGATCATTTATGTCATGAAGATATATGACGCATAAAAAAGATGCGTCAGACTTTATTAATATCAGCTCCTTTAACCAGTTGGTGATTTTCAAGTTTTCAGAGAGTCTAATGGATTGTATTCTATATTCGTGAGCCTCTCTAGAAAAATAAAGGGAGTGCCAACTAATTATAACTGTCATTTTTAATTCTTCTAGCGTCTGGATCAAGAAGGCAAAGGTGGATTGAAGGGAGACATCAGCTGGAAGCAAAGTCTCTGACAGAGATGCTGCTAACATGGCCTTGACCCTCTACAGGATTGAACGGTTCTTCAATTTGCTTCTATTTGCAGGAATTTGATAGCGAGTTGAGAGTACTTTTAGAATTTTTTTTAGAAATAAAGTAGTAAAAACCCTTGCAGAAGACTGATAACAGTAATAATAAGTTTTGTCTCGAAGTTATTTCTGGCTCGCAGATGTTTTTAAAGATTTTTTAAGTTAACGTTCACTCTCACTCTCTCTCTCACTCTCTCTCTCAATCTCTCTTTCTTTCTCTCTATCTCTCCTTCTTTCTCTCTATCTCTAAAAAGGATGAAATAGAGAACAATAACGGGTGAGTGTAAAGTGAAAAAAAAACGACGAAAAGGACAAATAAACACGACATTTTTAAACGTACGCTCAGACGGGTGCATGGGAGCATCACACGAATGCACACACGCACACGAATGAAAAGTACATATAAAAAAGTAAAATCGATTCCCCTGACGAGTGGAGGAAGTGATCCTAGGAGGGTCCGTCTACGAAACTCTGGAGTCGGAATGCTGAAGGTAACATCAAACAGCTAATATATATATGTATATATAATATATATATATATATATATATATATGTGTGTGTGTGTGTGTGTGTGTGTGTGTGTGTGTGTGTGTGTGTGTGTGTGTGTAATGTGTGTGTGTAATGTGTGTTTATAGGAAGGGAATTTTATTATTAGTATATAATTAACTTATTTTTTTTGCTAGGATCTGTTGTAGATATATTAGTATTTACTAATTTTTTTAGTATATTTTCATCTTGTATATAATTAGCATGCATTTGATTACGATATAGGAGATTAATATGTTTGAGAGTGAATGCCCATATTACTACAAAATAGGAATTATAAAAAATCTAATACTTATGAAACTAATTCATCCACAAAACAGGTTTTTTACAGTGAACTAAAGAATATAAAACAGACACTTATTAATAATAGCTTTCCAAACTATATAGTTGATGAACAAATAAGATGCTTTCTTAGAAGACTCAATACTAAGCAAATAGAACATAATACTGCTTCTACTGATCTCAGACATAATGGCCATTATGAAGGTACTACATAATGGTACTGCAACTTGGCAAACTCTCTCTGATCGTTCTGATCGTCCAGATTTGTTGGTGAAGGCATTAGACTCAACACGGAGTCCTACGTCAAGTGCCTTAAGGAGGTAGTGGTGTCCATGCGCCAAGAGAGTGGCTGCTGGAAAACCCTATGATTGGCAACAGGACTCTGTACCATGCCGCACAAGCAAGATAAATTTATCCATCGCACGCAATAGATGCATACTTGGATATATATATATATATATATATATATATATATATATATATATATATATATATATACCGCATTTTCATCTTCATCATACGAGATTTTTGAACGGAAAACAAGGGCAAAAAAATTACCAAGTACATATTTTCAAAATTTTTACTCAGCTTAAAAAAACCGTCTTATTTGAAACATCCAGATTACAAATACACTCGGGTAGCACACTAGATAATAATACAAAAAGTAGGCAGGTGTTGATAACAATTGATTACAAAAGGCATTTGATATGTCGGCCATATTTGTTTCTTTGGGAATCAGCGTCATGTTTAAACTTTGAACAGTTTTACTCACAAGTTAAAGTTTGTTTATATTTTGATCATCTTGTTTCTTTTTAAAGATTTCTTTCTTCATTCTTAATGAAAGATATTTTTTTTATTTTCATTGTTTATTAATATATAGAAATAAAATGAAGTCATCTCAAACAGAAAAGTATGATAGATCAATTAACACCTCACCGGGCATGTCTAGTCAGCACCTTTCCCCGGAAGTAAGTTTTGAAACGGAAATTAGGAGAAACACACAACGTGTAAACATCCGCTACATTGGTTTTCTTTAATATCGTGAAAAATTAAATATTGTAGTGAAATATATGTACAACATTGAAACTTTAATTGATAATATGCATAACAAGAGGTCGTATTATATACAAGAAAATACGGTATATATATATATATATATATATATATATATATATATATATATATATGAGAATAACTTTTCCAATTTGTCATATATATATATATATATATATATATATAAATGTCCAATATTCGCTTGAAGATGAAACAGAACTAATGCTTTTTAATTTAATTATTTAATTAAATTTAAAGTTTTTAGCTTCCATTTTTCAAACATGTTTATTACTGTATAGCGAAAAACCATATTTTAAATGAGTTAATTTATTTATATATATATATATATATATATATATAAGGACATTTTTATGCTTATACATTCTTTTTATATATACAAATATTTAAGCAAATCCTCTGTTTATAATAAACAGTATTAAACAACATTTACCGGCCTGAATGTCCGAGAAATTTTCAGAGAAAATATTCGTCCTCTACGGAAGTGTCATTTAGTTTGACGTGCCTTTACCGATTTGGCCACAGAGGATCGTTCGGTCAGCAAGGTCGAATTTACTGTATTTAAACTTCAATCTTCCATGAAGCTTTCACGTACATTCATATCTGCTCACGGCGTATCAAATGTAAACAAATGACGTCACACATTATGAAATGGACAAATCACTTCATATCCCTGATATTGAGCACTTTAAACCATAAATATAGCATACTTTAAAACTATATTGTGTGTATATATATATATATATATATATATATATATATATATGGGATAATGATATATAAATTTTATATAAATGTTTATATATCAAGAACAGTTTTAACAGAAAAGATGTATGACAAATTGGAAAAAAAACGGTTTTGTGACGTGTTTCATCCCTTAGGACTTCATCGGACAGGTATTGTTTACATTGCTTTGACTAAGCATGCTTCCTAAATTTTAAAACTTCTAGCGACTCAGATTCATGCTCATGATGAAGTCCTAACGGAAGAAACGCGTCACAAACGTTTTTCCAATTTGTCATGTGTGTGTGTGTGTGTGTGTGTGTATTTATCCTGTGGAGTAAATAAGATACTCTCGGTAACACAAATGAACTAGGCAAGACGCCTTAAATAAAGAACTCAAAGTAAGTCAAGGGAAATCAGTTGGAATAAGTCGATGAGAATTTCTAATGACGTCACGGCGATTAGCGTAAGCAAGACATACTCTTATAACCGATAAGAGCAAGTTATAACAATATATATATATATATATATATATATATATATATATATTGTTATGGTAATTTACCCACGCACGCAGGCAATCTCTCAGCTATAAATAGGAGCAGGTACTCAATTCCTCTCTTGCATCCTTATTTCTGGCCCTAACCAGGCCACAATATATATATATATATATATATATATATATAAAGATAAAGGTTTCAGGGTTTTTTTAACAAATCAAATGAAAATGATATTTTATGCGATCGAACTTGCAATTTCTACAATGAAATAATTCAAATCCTGAAGTTTTTCGACTTCACTATTGTAACCTGCATTTTTACCTAGTCCTAGGCGTGTAGACAAGACTTTCACTGCTTAAAAAGCAGGGATGGCAAATTAAATACGTGGACTCACTAAATATAATTTTTATGATAATAGTAATAATAGAAGCCCAGGCATCTACTTAAAGTTTCATGTGTAAATGAATGCAATACGGTCGATAATTAATATTTACTCCGCAATAAAGCGTAGAACAGTCTCCAATGTCCATTTCTCGATTTGTTACGGGCTATTTTAATTGTCAGGTAAATTAAATGAGAGCGCATTTTCATTGTTAAATAAAGTATACACTAAAAAGAGCTTGTCTCATATCGAGAATATTTAACATCGAAAAACATAAGAAAAAATTAATTATTGTTGTGGATTCTGAGGTGAAATTCGGTCTCCAATGAAGAACAAACGCAATAATTAAATATAAGAAATAAAATGTATTTACACAATCATACAAAGAGTAATACTGTTAGTAAATCCAGGAACGCGGTTAGTAGCAAATACAGATAGATATATACAGTCTCGAAGTAGGACTTCCTTAGAGTCTACGTGCTTGTAACTGATAGTTTACCTCACACTATTACTCCATCACAATCAACCCCACTCTCTATCTCTCCGTATATCCTCCCTCACTGACTGTCTAACTCTGGGTATTTAACGGCAGCACTCCAAGTAACACTGGTAGAGTCCACTTATATGAAAAGGGGAGGACCCCATAACAATTATTTTTAATAATATGTGGAAATCTGATGAAGGTCTCGAGACCGGAAACCCGTGTAGCAAAAGTATGGAAAATAAAACATAATATTTTTAAAAAAAAAAACCACATTACAACCAAAAGCGTTTGCGGTTTCTCTCTTCTTTTTAATATACACACTTTTCTCTCGTTGGAACTACTATAACCTCTTCCCTTTATATAGTCGACTCTCCCGTCGAATTCGACGTATGAGGGTCAAGCAAATCAGTTCCTAGGAAACTGACAGCCCGACACCAGCACATGAGATTTGGTTATAGTGGTGAAGGTTTTGTGCAGAACCATTCACACTTTTTGAAGGGCCGAATACAGAGATCTGGGGCACTAGGTACCACAAGTTCCCCAAACGACCATCCGAAGGTTTTGAATTCAGAGTTGTCCTTCTCTAGACTATATATATATATATATATATATATATATATATATATATATATGATTATAGTCGTGAAGGTTTCGTGCAGGACCATCCACACTTTTTGAAGGGCCGAATACAGAGACCTGTTGCACTAAGTGCCACAAGGTCCCCAAACGGCCCTCTGCAGGTTTTGAATTCAGAATTGTCCTTCTCCTAGACCAGTTGCCATCCAAGGCTATAGAACCCAGTCTGTCCTGCTATTTTACCCATAGCTGGAGGGAGAGGAAGAGGATTCATACCTTTCCCAAGGGTATTAGCACGTAAGTGAATGTAATGGATTCGACTGGAATTCGAACTCGGCTCACCGATTCCCCAATCCACTATCCATTACTCCATACACACACAATATATATATATATATATATATATATATATATATATATAGTTGAATGTGTTGTGTGTGCAATGGATAGCGGCTTGGAATGAGACATCGGCAAGATTTCTACTTCCACCAACTATCAGGTAAATAATAGGGCAGACTGGGTCCCCTAGCATTACTTGGCAACCCTGAATTCGGAAACTAAAGAGGGTTGATTACAGACTTCATGGCCGAGAGTATACACCAGTTCTCTGTCTGCAGTTCTTCCAGAAAGTGTGTTTGATCCAACACAATCCTTCACCGCTATAATCATAACATATGTGCATATAGTCTGGTTGTTGTTTTAAAAGCTAAATTGTTA